ACGCCACCAGAGCCCATCCGGTCCATGCTGGAACCCATGCGGTCGAGACCTGAGGAGGGGAAGCGGTCCATGCCACCGGAGCCCATGCGGTCGAAGTTTGAACCCATTCGGTCGAGGCCTGTGTTCATCCGGTCTATGCCCATAGGAGAGGCAAAGGCCATTCCGCCGCTCATGCGATCCATGCCGGACGGGCCCAAGCGGTCGAACCCACCAGGACCCATGCGGTCCACGCTGGAGCTCATGCGGTCGAGGCCTGATCCCAGCCGATCCATACTGGGCCCCAGTCGGTCAAGCCCTGAACCCATTCGGTCGAAGCCAGATCCCAACCGGTCCAGATCAGACATGCGGTCCATGCGATCCATTCCCATTCGGTCCAGTCCTCCCATGCGGTCCATGCCGCCGCCAAGCCGATCCATGCCAGAGTTCATGCGATCCATTCCCATGGAGTTCCCTGGCAAATCAAATTATGGCAAAAAAATTAAAGGGGTCATATGATGCGATTTCAATTTTTCCTCTCTCTTTGGAGTGTTACAAGCTCTTGGTGCATAAAGAAGATCTGTAAAGTTGCAAAGACTAAAGTCTCAAATCCAAAGAGATATTCTTAACGCCACCCAAATGTTCACGCAAAGAAAGGCTGCGTAACTTTTATTCTCGCTGTTGTGGAGATGCTGTGTTTCATTGTGAAAGCGAAACTACTTTGTTTGGCCTTCCAAAAGAGGACGATATCCGCTTCGTCATGCGTAGAGCTGATCCGTGCTGGTCGCTGAAGAAATACATCAACTTCGCACGGTGGATCGCCGGATCAGCTGTCACTGTGGACGAAGCGGAGTCTAGCCCGGGGTCATCACATGTGGTTGCTGCAAGCCCGCCGGACGATATTTAAAGAATTTGCCACTGATGATTCAAACTTGAGTTTTGAGCAGTGTAGAGTAGCGCTTGTTGTTTGTCATTTTTCCGATCACAAAAGCAGACATGGTTTTATGTTAACGCTGCGCAATACGCAACGCAAAGCGTAAAAACACAGTACAAGTCATTATAATCAGTAATTATGTCCCCACTGGATGCAACAAATGCCTCATTTGTAAATGGGTTTTATCTCGTCACGCCGGGACACATGGAAACAGTATGTTAAGGGCCGTAACATTTCCATCACACGCTTGAGGTATTCGGCCAATCACAACACACTGGATAGCTGGCCAATCAGAGCACACCTCGCTTTTCAGACCGATGAGCTTTGTAAAAATCAACGCCTTTCAGAAAGGCGGGGCATAGAAGAGAAACAATGTACAGTATGTGGAAAATAATGTGTTTTTTGAACCTTAAACCACATAAACATTGCATTACACCAAATAATGTTCTTTTTAGCAACATCATATGACCCCTTTAAAAAGTTAACGTTAACCTTTGCTCCTATAAATTTCTTAGATAGTTACATAATGTTACTAACCCATTCCTCGGTCAAATGAGTCTCCAAAGTTGCTACGGGACATACCCATGTCATTACGGCCACCGAAATCTCTATCAAAGCCCCCGCCGATTCCACGATCCATATCTGCAATTAAAAAAATATATAAATAAAAACATTTCAAACCTAACTACTAGCAAAAACAAAACAAAACACCATTTACCATTCATTCTTCCCATTCCAGAAGTGCCGAAACGATCCATGTTGTTCATACCACCTCCAAAATTATCCATCCCTGAAGATCAATAACATTTGAATTCAATTCATATTGGGGAAAAGAAGGGAGAGGGAAAAAAAATAAAAAAACAACAAAAAAAAAAAACTAAAGATAATTCACCATTCAAAACAAAAAAAGCAATGTGATGAATAGTGTTACCTTGCAGGTTTTATTTTTTTAGTGGATGAAATCAAAAGTTCAAAACAAATAAAGAAAATAATCAGCAATTAAAAAAAAAAGAAAAAAAAACACTTTAAAATAACTTGATTCCAAGTAAATAAATTTGCATTTTTTACAATTAACATTAAAAGTAAAACCTTAACTCAATTAATAAGGGATAAAATAAGCAGTATTAAAAAAAAAAAACCCTTGAAGAAATTGGTAGATAAAATAAGCAAAAAAATAAAATAAAATGGAAGATAATTCATTAAAACAGTACATAAAAATAGCAATGTGATGAATAGAGTTACATTGAAGGTTTTAATTTTTGGTGGATAAAATAAGCAGGACAAAAGTAAAACATTTAATAGATAAAATAATCAGTAATTTATATAGTAAAAAACAACAACACTAAGATAACTTTATTCCAAATGTATAAAGTAGCATTTTTAATGTAAAAAATAAACCCTTGATAACTCAATCCATAAGGGATAAAATAAGCAATATTTAAAAAATAAAACCTTGACGATAATTTAGATAAAATATGCAGCACTTTTAAAATTGAGAATAAAACCTTGTAGATAGTTCATAGTAGATAAAATAAGCAGCATCTTAGAAAACAATAATAAAACAGTCAACTAAATTTATAGTGCAGTGACGTACATTTTTTTTAAGGTAATTCACTGTAATCACAGTACTACATAAATAACTTCACAATTCATAGTACACAAAATATGGAAAAAAACAACATTGTGCCGCTTCAAAATTACACCACAGTTTTATGGAGATCAGTGAGGTTTGGATAGCGCCCATTCAAATGAACTGAGCACCCTTGAACTACAGCATGAAAATCAAACCAGTAACACCTGCAGGTCCTTTCCAGATGGGATCAAAACAGGCCAAAATAAAAGAATGGCTGATGAGATGAACCACATACCTCCCATTCTACCCATGCCACCAAATCCCATTCCATCCATTCCTATAGAGAAAATGATTTCATGGAGAGGGGAGGGGAGTGATGTTCAGTGAGTGCATACAAGAGGAAACATTCCCAAAAAACCAACATGCGACACGCTGTTACCTCCTGGTCCCATGTTGCCCATCCCACCCCGGTTGAGCTGGGTAGCGTCGATGGGTTGACCGCCGGGTCCCAGACCGAGACCGACACCACTCAGACCACCTGCATGAGACAGTGGAACTGGTTTAGAGAAGAAACTAGCCAACTGCAACAAAGTTTTATGGCTGATGGTCCATACAGCAAATGTTAATATGAAGTCATCACTTACGAGGAAGGGCTGGAGGACGGTCTGGGGGTGCAAAGTCACCTTTGGGAAGGGATTTCTCATCCTGAAAAGACAATGACAGGTGTAAAGAAATGAATTGAGGAGTTTACTAATCATATTGGCAACGTACCACTAAACTTCTGGAAGCCAGAAACAAGCTTCCATGTTAAACCCATGTGATTACTTACCAGTTTGACGTGCATGACCCTGTTGAAGAGGAGCTGTCCGTTGAACATTGCTAACATCCATTAAGGAAAACTTCAAGCATTGCACATTGTAAATAGCATTAAACAACCTTATTCCAATCAACGCCACACATCAAAAGCTACTGTGAAGGATACAGACTGCTTGAACAGCCTCAAGGGGCATCTCAAATGTGACAGTTCCCATTCCCCTGCTCTTCCCGTCTTTATCCTCCAGGATATCTGCACGCACAACAGCTCCAGCCATTCCAAACACCTCCTTGAGCTTCTTCCATCCAACCTTGTAGTCCAGCTGTGCAGAGAGATGCCATATGGAAAGTCAGGGGTCAAGTTTCAAAATATGGGACATATGGTTTCAGAATGAATTCAAAGACTTACATTGGCCACAAAAATGGTGCTTCCGATTTTTCCAGCCTGGAGTCCGTGGATGATCTCGTTGGGGATGTTCGGGTTGTTCATGAGACTGGGAGGGATGTTGACCATGGAAGGACCGCCAGGGCCTGGGCCCATCCCCATTCCTCCTCCCATTCCTCCACCCATGCCTGGGGGTCCGCCGCCGCCACCACCCCCACCCCCGTGAGCCCTATTAGCTTCACGCTGGGCAATCACTCCATCTGGATCCTTCAAGAAGCACAAGGAGGGCACGTTTAATACATCCAACATCAAATATTGACATTTATGTTGATTTTGCTGACAGCCTAAAATACCACTATGATTTTAACATGGTTTTTTGAAGACACTATTTTTACAATCATGCCTTGTTACTTTATAACACAACTTTACAATGATTTCCATTAAATAGACATGCTTGTTGATTAATAAAATTTAACCATTAAAACAGTCTAGGAAAATTAAAACTGAAAAAAATGAATTTAAGAAAAAAAAACATTTTTATAGAGCCCTAAAATTTTTTACATTAGAACTTAAAATAGTTACCTATCATTCATACCCAAATATTAAAAATGGAACAGAAAAAAAGGCAATGATTGTTTCACTGGATTTTTTGTTCTTGCATTACAAAAATTAATGGACAAGTAAAAGCACATTAAAATAGTTGTGGTGTAGTGCCAGAAAAAATAGAGATTCTTTCACACTTTGTACATTAATATCTTGGTATCATTTAACATTAATACTTACATAAACCAATACAAAAATTTAATATTTTTTATATTTAAATGATTGCAAAAAGTGTTTCACACAAACTAATGGACAAATAGTAAATTTAAAAACTATTTTTACAATCTTATCTTGTCGGTGTTTCTAATAGTCTTAAAAAATATACATATTTGTAAATTTGAAAAATGTAAAATACAATAGCATTAATATTCTATCAGTAGATATAATATAAAAATATTAATTAATATTCAAGTAGCTAATATTCATATAATATTACAAACAGAAGAATACAATTACTTCTTTGGTTGGAATGAGTTGAAATGGCTAAAATTGTAAAGAAATTGGCAAAAAATTGGAAACAGATTTTATCTATATTTACCCAGTGTTATTCATCTACAAGATGCACTCACCTCTTTGACCTTGAGAGGACGACCGTTCATGACATGTTTGTTGACTTTCTCTACAGCCTTTTTCATGAGCTCTTCAGTTCTGAACTCAACCACCCTATTTAATTAAAAAATAATAATAATAAAAAAAAAAAAGTTAGCAAAAGTTGCGCAAAAGCGACAAATGAGAAATGATCAATAGTCTGAATGATACTTACGCACAACCCTTTGTTCAGTCAGTAAACCAACCAGGATGAACAAACAAACAAAACAGGAACGAGAGAGACAATTAGACAAGCGACACAAGAAATCAACGACAACTGACTCAGGAAAAATACTTCAGACACACTAAATTGATAAAGAATATTCATAATACTTCTCTGTGGTGTTCAACAGTTACATAATTACATTCAAACTCAAAATGGCTGACAGGATTAATTGACGACCAGAATACACAAAGCGGCCTTCAGTTCCAATTACTCATTCAGGCTCCATTTCTGTTGTTATCCCACTAGTTGAGTCGCTCAACAAATCATTGACGCCATGTTTAGTTACTGAACACCACCTGAAGTCCAATAATGAGACTCGCAGTGCAAAAAAATGCTACCTCTTAAACACACGAGAACCAGAATTACTATATGGCTGGGAAACGATCCCTGCGGTTCCACTCAGAACCGCAGTCGGCGTCCATTTTTGTTCAAATGCCACCCAAGACGACACATTTTGAACTCTCAACCCAGTCCTGAACATCCCACATTAAAATCTAAGAGTACATGTAAGAACTCAAGCGGACAAATGGAGGTTCGTCTCTTGCACTTACCCTTGATTTGCCTTCTCCGTCCATTAAGTGTTCCACGTACGTTACCTCACCCACTACAAATCAGATTCCAGACGACACACACCAAGGGGAGAGAAGCCGAGAGAACAATTGGGGTTTAGAGCAGACACAAACGGGGGGACGGTGAGAGTGAGCTCGGCCTGCGAGTTCAGAGCCTCCTCCCCCAGCACCTCAGCAGCACAAATTCTGGTACAGGTCTACAAGAAGCAAGCTGTAAAGTGTATTGAGGAAAACTTCTTAAGCTGTCCTTGCTGGGAACCTCAACATCCAAGACTGACCAAAAGGATTTGACCTCCCGAGCCATTGAAATTGGATGGATTGTCAACTATGGCATTTGTTGGACGTCAAAGAACCATTTCTGGTAAGGTTAACAAGTCTTCGGCTACCTCAGAAACATTCGACACACCTAAACCGTATCGTTAGCGCAAAAAAA